CCAGCAAACTTTTCGAGCGTCTAATTAAAGACGAAATCCTGAAGCATCTTAGGACCAATAACCTCCTCTCTCGTTTCCAGCACGGTTTTCTACCTGGCAGGTTATGCATCACCAATATGCTGGCTGTCATGGATAGCCTGACCAAAGCATACGGTTCCGGCAGCATCTCTCATGCCGTTTTCATTGAATTTGCGAAAGCTTTTGACAAGGTTCCACACATCCCTCTTTTCCACAAACTGGCGGCACTTGGCATTGTAGACCCCTTGCTTACTCTTATTCAAAGCTTCCTCTCAAATTGCTCATTCGCTGCTCGTGTGGGCAAATCCTCATCAAAGCCCAGCCCAATTACGACCGGTGTTCCCCAAGGTTCTGTTCTAGGACCTTATTTATACAAATGACCTACCCGATGTAGTGTCATCAAGGATTGCGCTGTAAGCCGATGCTGTCACCATCTGGGATACAGACACCTCTCGTTTACAGGCCCCAATTGGTGCTACCAAAATTGGAATCTTCAAATCAACAAAGACACGTTTGTTGGGATGTCGCTCAATGGTCACCCATCTCACCCGTTTACGAAAAAAAGGTTCCCACCTATTACGCCAAGTAAACCAATACACACTTTGTGGTTTTTGGTTAAACAATAATCTGTCTTCATCATGTAATAACCATCCAGTCAATAAGGCCGCCTCACCTATCTTGGCCCGAGCAATCTGGCACTATTCCGCCCACAAACCAATCGTGGAACTCTCTTTTTATAAAGGTTAATGTGCTATAATTTGTTTGGTACGCAATCTGGATTCAGACGTGTGAAATACATTTACCATACATTCCATGTTCGTTTCAGTGACTTTTACTCATTTGTACCATTATTGACATTATTGTTGCGTTGGCACTATGTTTGTCCTCAGGTCGGTGTGAAATAAATAAATAAGTTTCAATGCTGATCCAAACACTTCAGAAGCTGCTGATTCCTGGATCCACTGTCATCATACTTTCACTAATTTCCTGGAATCAATTGAACAACTACAACTAGATGGATCTAAAAACATCGCATCAATGATTTTATGAGTCCCTCGAATATAGAACCGCCGTATCGACTCTCCAGTTCACGCCTAGTCAGCCAAAAATAGAGGTGTTTACCCAGTAGTTATCAGTGATGTGCAAACAAGAAGTCAGGAGAACATACTAGTTTCTGCACAGACTGCGGTCACTCGATGACGATTGTAATCACCAAGCTATTACCGATGAACACCGACGGGGGGCTTTACTCGATTCCTTCATCCATGGATTGACGTCCATTCCAATAAGAGACTGCTGCATATAACGATTGGCCTGAGGTTTACGAATAATTTGACCAAGTCACTGGAAAAGTTTCGGAAGTAATCTGGTATCCGTCACTGTTAGCCTACCTATTCCTATGTGGCACTACTAAAGCGACAACGCGTCAAACAATTGGAGAATCAATCGTTACAGTGGAAGAACTTAATTTTGCCGCTGCAGAACCAGCTTGTTTCTTTTGTGGTTAAAACCCTCTCTAGACCTTTCAAACGTCCGGTAAGGAACGCCATTTGTAATATATGACATAAAGAACCTAGGTATAGTTATTGTGTTAAGCAGATGACAAAAATAAATAGAACCTGTCTATCGTTCATGATCACGTCAGTCCCGGAAAATTCACCACGCGCTGTTACCACAATGGTATAAAATTCAAGGTCCTGGTAGACAAGAGAAGCTCGGAGAGCTCTATTTCACTAGAATCAGTTCGATGCCTCGTATATCAGATTGAGCATTGAAGTCATCATCATTATCGTACAGTGAAATACAGTTAAACGAACTCCACTGGCAGTTTCAATTCACAATGTAACGCACAATGGTGCAGTATGTGCGACCTTTCAATTTCAAAGAAACGTCACGTCGGGGTCAAAGGTGCTTCGGTCCTGCGTACGCCGCTCCAGCCCAGGAAATGCGGGTAGTCACCTTGATCACGTAACGTAATCGGTAAGGCAACTGGTTAGGGAGCAGAAAACATAATTATAATTAATTCACGATTGCCAAGTAGTGGAGCTGGGGTAGACGACACCCAGTTTTTCAGCATCCCCTTGCACTTTGAAGGTGCAAAATGCATACCATACTAACATAACTTGTTAGTCATCCCGGTGCGCTTTATACATTCGTACAGACAAACGATGTCATTGGCATACTTCAAATCTCATATTTTCCCGAGCTTTCCACTTAAGGGTGGTGGTGGCGCAGTGGTATAGTTGCCGTCACCGGCGTGCTTTGGACCCTGTGGTTCGAGGTTTGAGCCCCGCGATCACCATCCGACTTTGGTGGTAGGCAGCCACCCTGTCTTCCGGTTCAACGCTACGCCTAACCTATCGGGGCCTTATGTGGTTCGCCACTCCAAGTCCCGGGGCTTAGGTTGCCGGTTTTCACCAATGAACAGCAGGTCTTCGTGACTGCGGGGTTCGCCCCGTCTGCTGTTTCCCACACTGTGTAATAAAAAAACTTAATACCAACCTTTTGGTGACCACTCAGTGCACTCCTTAATATATAGTGTCAGAATTTGAATAGGAATGGCTCAATGGGGCACTCTTGAGAAACACTTGTTGGTTTTGAAATATCCGCTTAGACCTCTGCATACCTTTATTCTACCAGAACTATAAAGGTATACTGAAATCAATCGGTTAATATACTTTTGAGTTCCTTTTCAAACCGATGTCCAGGTTAGTTGCTTTCCGAACCAAATGAAAAAATGAGTGGAAAACAGTCAGTAATTACGAGCTCTTGAGTTGCATATCAAAAGGATTGATTCAAGAACTCACAATACAAAACGGTAATGCTCGATGGAATTCTAACTATAATGTCGAAAAATAGATGACGTTAAGGAAATCAAGAAAATGAACTGCCAAATTAGACAGTATAAAGAATGAAAAGGTGTTTTTATGACACACCGTTTTGAGTGAATAAAAATAGAGAGAGATGAACTCGCCACAAGGACCTGCTGCTCAGTTGTGGAAAACGGCAACACAGATTTTGGACTTGAAATGAAGAACCACAGTTCCACCGACATAAGCGAGGTACTAACCTGGAAGAACGAAGTTGCATACAACCAACGTTAAATGAGGGTGGTGACGTTCTAATCACGAAACTCAGGGGTCGAAATGTACGGATGAAAGCTATCACCACCACCCTAAAATGAACGAGTCCATCGATTAAACTCCGGCGGTTAGCTGAGGTACCTTCGGCAGCAAGCACTTCCGTATCTAAATATGAAACATTTTCCTAAAATTGAACTCCTTGGAATGAAAGGAAACCGGGACTTCAGCTGACACCTAGCCTATCTAGCTAATTCGTAAGAATCAGTACAACGACCTTGTGGAAGTTGAACCTACTCAATCAGTAAGTACACATGGAGTCTTTATATGTACATTCCGACAAAAGAGTGTGATTAGATCCGAGCAACAGTACTAATGTATCAAGTGATTTAAGATATGACCATTGATAACGTACTGCCGTGAAAACGACTTATTCAAATGACGTACCAGAGCCGATATATCAATGCTCTTTAAATCTTACCTGAGACAGGGCAAAATTATCCAAGGTTCCCGAATTCTCTGTGATTTTCTTTTTGGCTGCCTCAATCAGCTTGTCGAATTCCTCCTGTTTTTTTATCTTTTTTAACTCCTTCCTGGATATCTTAACAGTAGCTATGTCATGCTTGGATGTTCCCACGTCGTCAGTTTTATTGTCCCGATCCTCCATTTCAGGTGCCATATCAGTTGTCGTGAGAGACTCTTGTGCAGCAGGTTCAGTTTGATCCTCCGCGGATTCGGGGGTATCCGCTTCTGTTTTATGAACCTGGTGTAGTTCTACTGAAGGTACAGCCCCGGGTGAATCTTTATTACTTTCTGCGTCTACGGAGTCGTTGAGCGGCAGCTCTTCCACATCCAAAGAGAGACCCTGGAATTTCGAGAAGCGACTGGCACCACCAGACGGCACAGACTCCAGATCATCTCCATCTTCTATATTCAGTGCATTTAGCTGGGACAGAACAGTTTTTTCTTCATCGTCACTATCAAAGTCCCCAATATGTTTCTTATTACCTTTTCCACGTTTCTTTTTAGAAGTAGGTTGAACGTTGACCACCTCCTCCGTCTGTTCACTTCCCTTCTTCTTTCCACGTCCTGCCTTTCTTTTCTTTGCATAGAATTCCTCGTCAACCTCATCACTGAGCTGCTTTTCATCATCTGTTTGAATGATAACAGGAAGTTTGTTCATAGCATCCGGTTCGCGTTGTTTCTCTTTGTTTTTCTCTTTCTTAGAATTCTCCTTGCTTTCTTCTGGATTTTCATGGAAGGCCTCATCTATTTTCTTTTTATCTTTCTTTTTGGACTTCGACTCCGTCTTCGGAACGTCGTCCTCTGCCTCCTTCGGTTGTGCTGATTTGCCCTGACGTTTTTCCTTACCCTTGCCAGGTTTCTGAGATTCATTCATCCGTTTGGTTTCTGATTTCGATGCCACCTCAACATCATCATCATCCACCTTGTTCCGAGCGTTTCTTTTAGGGGGCATTGAGGTATAGAAACACGCGGGCGTCCAAATCAGAGAGCACGTCCAAAATGTGGTTCGGTTCAAATTTCAGGTCAGGTCAAGTTGCACAGGACTGATAATGGCCACGGCCAATCGAGCGTCCAGATTTTTTTCCGGCAGTATGCTCACAAAGTGGGCGCACGTTACCATCCGGCACCCCCCTATTTTTTGCTTGATTTTGGGTCATTAGAGAAACGGATACTGCAAAATGTTTTGGATATTTTTTAGACAGTTTTAATGTATAAAATATTGTTCTGTTTGATGATACACGAAAGTCCATTTTTACATGGTTTGTTTTAAATTGTAGCCTTGAAACATGTTGGACGGGTCTAAAATGTAGGGGATGCTACACGATATTCAAAGAGAGGCGTGTATGGGGTATATGCAAGAATGCCATTCATTGCCGCTAACACTTACTTGTGCATGTGGTCGTACAATGAATATGCAGGAGTCGTCCCGCAGCCCGGATCACTTTGTTCCTTAGTCTCGACTTGATAATTATCTAGGTCTAATTGCTTCCTCCTGAGTCCTCTTATGAAAAGCTATATATGTATTCAAAAACAAAAAAGTAACAAAAAAATCAGATTTTTATTATTTTACTTTTTATTATTTATTTTACTGTAGCCCTTCTCAGTTAGTCCGTGCCTGCCCATTTACTATAGCTCATTGTTACGTTTATTATTAATAATGCCAGAATAGCCCCCGGGCAAGAAAATATATTGCCTCTCCAGTTTTCTCTGATTTTCCAGTTGCATCTTCCAAGAACAAAAAACAAGAAACCATCAAGGATCCGGGACCATTGGGCGCCAGCCTTTAAACCGAGAGTCACTTCAAGACTTCATTTTATTTCTCTCCTCGAACGGGGAACCCTACTTATGCCTTTTCAGTACTCTATATCCTAGAAGAAATTCGCACCAAAAGAAAACACAGATACCTTTCAAGAACCCGGGACATTTGGGCAACAGCCACGAACCCGTGAATCACTTCAAGACGTCAAGACAACTGAACTGAACCCGTGGTAACCACAGCCATGGACTTGGGCGTCCTAGTTAGTGCGGAATTCAAGCCTGGACTCCAGTGCCGGGAGGCATCACGAAGGGCTTCCAGAGCCTTACACCAACTGAGACGTGCGGTAGGTTCTAGGAAACCCGAAGTCTTGCTCCCTCTGTACAAGGCTTAGGTGCATCCGCACCACGAATACTGCGTCCAGGCATGGAGCCCGTTTCTTATTCAGGACATGAAAACGCTAGAGACAATGCAGCGTTGCTTCACCAAGTGGTTTGCAGGTTTGAAACGCCTATCTTACGAGAGGCGTCTGGGAGCCCTAAACCTTTTCTCGTTGTGCAGGCGGAGGTGACGCGGAGACTTAATTAAAGCGTACAACATCCTTATGGACGTACCAGATGGAGCGCTGCTCAAACTCAGTGCAACAACGAACCTGAGAGGGCACCCAACATCCATAGCTCTCCGCGTAACCTCTACTTCTCCTTTACCTCTGTTAGACACTTCTCATTCTTTAGATCAATCTCTTAGTCCCAGTGGATGCTCTGGTCCTCCCTTGAGTCTGCAGGCCGCAACAACATTCTTGATAAACCCCCCTCGGACTGGAGCCCTGCGAAGGGGCGCACAATTGGTCTCGGCCACTACTGTCCTGTGCAAACTGAACTGAACTGAAATCTCCTAGTCGTTGTATACTATTCGTTTAATTGAAGAAGAGTTCTCTTCTTCCTGTTGTCGCAGCACCGGCGGATCCATGGTGCCCATCAGTGCAAGAAGCTGGACAAATCGGCACGCCGCCGCTACGTGCCATGAAACGAACCGACCCACAGTTTGGAAGTGCTCTCTGATTTGGACGCCCGCGTGTGACAATAGCTTAATATGCAAGGGGCAACAATCTCATTTAGGCCGGTTCATTATGTATCCATGTCATCCTTTCAATAATTGTCATTCGCCTCTGTTTCCCTTCCAGACGTGAATGCTACTCAAGTTATGCTGCCTAACCAACCCCATTCAACTCCCGAAGACCTCCCGGACAGTTGCCCCTAGCCCCCCGATTGGACCCCCCTTGTACAGAGATCGAGTAATGGTTGACTTTTCCCCAATACACGCTGTGCTCTGGTCTACACCTTCTCCCTTCTAAGGG